GGGTTTTATTCATTTTTTTGAAAATATTGACTGGAAATTTTCTGTTGTTTTAATTTTCATCCCGGGGAGAGCAAATAAAAAATTTCTGATTAAAAATTGAAGTTGAGGATTTTTTTATATTCACGAATATGAGAATTCTCGGGTTTTATTCATTTTTCGGGAAATATTGACTGGAAATTTTTTGTTGTTTTAATTTTCATCCCGGGGAGAGCAAATAAAAAATTTCTGATTAAAAATTGAAATTGAGGATTTTTTTATATTCACGAATATGAGAATTGTCGGGTTTTATTCATTTTTTGGGAAATATTGACTGGAAATTTTCTATTCTTTTAATTTTCTTCCGGAAACACTGAATTCTAAATCCTAAAACCTCTTGAAAATTCATTGCAATTTCCATGGGAAAATCGGGGGACGGTTTTACTCCCATTAAAAATTACCAGTATTTTGAATTCTCGGTACAATATATGAAGTTCATGTTGTAAAGAGCAAGTGATTCTTGTAAGCATGACGCAGTTCTGTGCAATCCTCCATCCACATAATAAATCACTTCTCTCGCGGTCATTTTTGTCATCCAGGGAAAACAATTCTGCTCGTTTCCCGTTCGCATAAAGTCGTAAATTTCAACTAATTCTAGTTTAGTACCCTAAACCCGCGACCGTCATTGGTTAAAATCCGCAATTTTATGCCCACGGAAGACGAGCAAAATCTCTCCGCAGTTCATAAAAACTCAGGTAGAAATTAGTTGAACCCCAGCTGTACCGGTAATTCATAATAAATACATAATTTCACAAAGAATTTTGTATTATTTTACGCAAGTTCTTCTGTACTCGATTCTACTCAAAAAATTACCTAGATTTTTCGTAACTAATATTTGATTTGAGGAAAAAAAAAGAGCGGTTTCTGGTGGAGTGGAAAATTCCCAAGAGTAATTCATGGGAATTCATCAATTAAGTTAATAATTTAAATTTTTTTTCTGGACGACTATCCTTCACAGGTGCACAAGAGAAAAATGATCGTGCAATTTATGAACAAGTGGGAAGCAACTGGGTTTTTCTCATGATCATTAGAAAAGATCCTTGAAGCCCGGGATAAAAAAAGATGATGGGAATGACAGGTGGAGCTATCGAGATACCCTAGAGGATGTCAGTCTTCATCTTTCCTCGCGGATATATGTGCGGATTTCGATGTAAACTTTGCATCATTCCAAGTCGTGAACTAGGATAAGTGCATTTTCTTCGATTCCAGTTTTCAGCCGATATCTCGGAATTGAACGAAAATCAGAATATTTTCATGAACACCTTTTTTGTAGTCCTCATCTTTCTCTTTAAAAAATGTTCAGACGAAAATTCGATATTTTTATTCAATTCCGAGATGTGGGCGGAAAACTAGTCTCGAAAAAATTGCACACGCAGGCATGAAGTAATTCGGACACTCAGTGAGTAAATAATGCAGAGAACCTGATAAACAAATTAAGTTAACTTCAACGACACTTCAGTACGGAAAAATGTACGTGCAGTTATACCCAACGTTTCATTTACTCTATGAATAGAAGATCATAACGGTTAATGAGCGCCAGACAAAAACCTGAATAACCGTGTAAACACTTGAGAAGATAAAGACGCAAGCACTCGAGAGAAATATTCAATAAGATATAACAATAATTGAAAATATAATCTCGACAAAATACTAAAAAATACGTTGAAATTTCCCAGAGAATATTGCAGTAATTAATTAATCCGACATAAATGACACCGGATGAGATTCAGATAAAAAATGATTTACACATAAATATTTAATAACAAATTAATAATAAATCTACCAAAATTCTTATTAGTCCCTGAATTGATTTAATTCTCATGAAATTATTAAATGGAAAAATAAAACGGATGGAGACAGCTGCTAAACTCCACTTCCCATAAAAAACATCTGATTGAATATTTCACTCTCAAAGATAACAGGAGCATTGAAACTGATCCATCAAGTGCTCCAGAATTATCATCCCCTCTTTTCGACCCCTGAGATAACTCAGTAGTAGGAGTTTGTCCAATAATCTGGCACTCGATGCGCCCCATTAATTCGACAATTATCAAGATCTCCAGGAATACTCATTACCTTTGATCTCCACTCAATCCAAAGTGTCTGAGACGCAATTACCCCCCAATACATTTGAATTAAATAAAATCAATCAGTCATGTGTAAATATTTTCAAAGGCCCCAGTGATGGTACGAGTTAACAGAGTAACATATATCAAAGCAACTCCGTGGATGAAAAAGAACGAGATATAATGCAAAAGTTATGGAAAGGATCGAGGCCTGGAAGGCAGAAAATGTGGAATGAGAGTATTTCGCTTTTGAGGGAGCATATAGTACGAAAAAATTCAGGAAGAGTGAGTGAAAAAGTGGAGGTCTTCTCAAAGAGGTTTTTCACAGTGTGACTGTGTCAGTGTACGATGCGTAAACGGAAAATCCATCTTGCGGTTATAAGTATGCTACCAAATGCTGTGAGACTAGATATCCTATCTGCGATGGCTATAATAATATATAACATCACCGAGCAGAAAAACCTATCGCCATTTTTTCCCTTCCCTACCAATGAATTTATAAGTAATTGTTTTTCCCCGCACCAACTCCAATTTTCACCGCTATTTTTCAATTATTTAATTAGTAATTACGGTAATTAAAGATCACCGTAGTGCCGGCGATTTCTCTAGGATTGATATTGATTAAAACGGGACAAACGAGAAAAAACAGACGGTGGAGATGAGAGAAGAGGAAATGACAAAGGTTTCCGGACTTATTAATTGGAAACTTGAGCTAATTCTTTCCTCATTTATTTTTTCTCCATTGTGGGTGAGTGATCAGACCTCGGGTTTCATTATTTGAAAGCGAGTCGGTCCTTTTCACATCGACTACTTACTATGCCTGATCTTCTTATCATCTCATTCCCTTCGCAATTAGTTTGGGAAGTCTCGGGGGACAAAGTCCAACCAAATGGAGCACGACACGACATTTCCGGAATATTAATTCCCCGTAATCTTTACTTAGTCAGCATTAATTAGTGCATCCTGTTGCGCTTCGCATAATTGTCTCAATGATCCAGAAATTTTAATGGCTAAATAATCGATAATGAATTTTTTTTACCGACCCCAGTCGGTAATGCAGATTGGTGACCAACCGTTGGGAATTAAAGATCATTAGGTCGATTTTATGATCTGTGATCAGAATTCACCCCCATGGGAACACCCGCCTGAGGGCGTCATCTACACGTGATGATCTTCGCCATAAAACTACCTAGGATCTTCGCATTTAGTCCACCATTGCGATCGAATCAGCGCCATTTATTTACCGGTCATATTATTTCTCGGCAATCATTCACCCATCCGGGGTTACCATATGGCGATTTTTCCCAGCGATTCTTTTTCATTTTTTTGAAATAGGGTACATCATAGCAAAGTCTCAATGACATATCGATATTTAAAAATCGTCGATCATTTCTAGTGATCGGTTTCACTTGATCGATCGTGACTGTTTGAAATCAAAAAGACATTTCCGAAAAATCTGCCTGAGAAATTCCTCTTCGACTAGATATTTTTGTTATTGAAATAATATAATTAACCCCAACAATCCTAATTAATATTAATAATTGAATCGTTATGTGGTTTTTTAAAATTAAAAATTCATTCTTTTCGATATTTTTCTCAAGATCACGTGTTTTGGTTCATTTATCGTTGACGATTTAATGAATTATTTTTTATTAAATAACCACATGCACGTCAATATAATGTTGATTATTAATTATTGTTGTAATTACCTGTTCAGCAGATTCCGCAATGAATGAATGACAGTACTGTATAGTGAAGTGTGCACGAGGTTCACGAGCAAGAAAGCTGAACTGCGCGTGTTGGGGTTCACAAGTTGCATACGATATGCGTCTCAACGCGTGTGCCATTTGCACTCCCTGAAACAAAAAATAATAATAATAAAAAATATGACAAACATATCCTGAACATCAGGAAGTACTCAATTTATCCATTGTATTTCAGAATATCTCATTGTTATAAATATCACTCACGTTTATTATAACATTTAACGGATCAGAATTGGAATGAAGTTCTGAGGCACTCGTTAGTGAGGGCAGTAAATCTTCGATGAATCTCGACTGACGAGTGTGGGATGAGACCCTTAAGCTGCGAATAAATGCCGAGGACGGCAACGAGGAGATAGTTTCAGGGAGCACATCTACTTGAGTGTGCATTCAGTTTTGCAGAAAAGGAGAGAAATGGAAGAGGAGAGTAAAAAATAATCGTGTCCACATAAGGTTTGCGAGAATTCTAACAAGCATAAATGTAGGAATGAATAACTCTTTATATTCGTACATCTCTGTGGGATAGATTGAATCAATAAAATTATTTTTCAGACCCCAGTCAATGGCACACTGATTATTTATTACTGTTCATATCCGTTTGAGTTAAATTGTGATTTAATGTGGAAAGTCTAGGAAGATAGTCGCGGATTTATCACCCGAGGTTTTTTTAGTTGAATTGTTTTATCAAGTTAATTTGTTAATTCGAAGTGTCAATTTAGACTCTCGTTGGATAAATTCATGAAGTTCTTACGGCAAAGGAACACTTTTTAATTTTTACTCACTCTCACCGACAGATACTCGAATGCTCAGTGGAACTTTTAATGGCAATTCAACATGAGATTTCGCGATAAAATTCGATCGAAACTTTCGAGTTATTCACTCGTCTGTCTACATTCCTTAATCCACTGGAGAAATTGTCAAGATTTTCCTCTGGCCAATTGGCTAGATACATAATTTCTGTTTACCCCGTTTAAGGTAAAAATAAAAGCCCCTCAATAATAAATTTATTCATGAATATTTATCATGATTAATAATATACGCACGGGGTACATCTGCCTCACGATTTATATTTTATGTTTAATCGTATAAATATTTCATCGGGTTAACAGCTGAGACCGAGAAAAAAAAGTTGGCGCTTCGACAGAACGTGTCGTGAATTTACTTATTTTATGATTTTTAAAAGTTTTGCGGTGGCAGCAAAGTCTATGGAGATTGAATTTATGATTAGTCTTAGGAGAGCTGATGAGGGTAAAGAGCTGTATATGAGTTGGCATTACACGCGAGACCATGTGACACGGCTAGGAAAATTAGTTGAACTTTCCGACTCGTTGGGATTACACCCCAAGTACCAGCAACGGAATAATTATGCCAACGAGGAAAACTTGAAGCTCACGCTTTTAACTATTGTTGTCTCCAGTCATGAATATCTCCGAGATACAATATATTCTTAAAGAGAATCTCAAGAAAATGCAAATTGAACTGTAAATGTTAAAAAATGCTAATAAAAAAAAATTAAAAAAAAAATTTCGAGAATATTTTCTAGCAGAAAAAAAAATACGACTGCCCGAACTATAAACAATTTTATGTCTCTCTAAGATGAAATTGATTCATTATTATTTTTTATTTTTATGATTTGGACTTTCATTACTGGCAAGGATGGAATAACGTGTTCGATAGATTCGACTCGAAATATCATGGCGATTATTTCGAGTTTGATACGATTGGAGCTCTCGTAAAAATTTTCAAGACATGAAGTACATGTTGCCGTCCAGTTTATTGATGCTTCAGAAGATTGAGCAACTCGAGGTACAGTTGTAGTACCAAATGGAGTGACTGGAGTTTCAGGAATGGCTGTCTCAAGAGCTGTCGAGTGAGTCCGAAGGACTTGACATTCTATTAATAAAATCTAAAAACTGTAATTCCCCCAAGTTATAATACATGTCTCGCCTGACCACTTCGACTATTAATTTTATTCAGTTCTTCGCGTATGCCAGTGGCAATTTTGCGTGAAGGTATATAGGGAACGAGACTCTCCAGAAAATTCTTGAATTAATTCCACTCGAGGAAGTAACTTTTTGAAAAATACACACTTCTCTCAAGTAAATGTATCCTTTAGAAAAATAGAATAAATAAATTTTCTCAGTGAAGTATCATATCATTCAGAAACACAATGCACCAGCGATGAGTGCAAAAAGAGGTTTTTCGTCCTCTCTGACCCTCCAGCAAGCTCAAAAGAGCCCTCCCGTTGAAATTGGGATTCCCCCTTTCTCCTGGCGTCTAACACGATCAAAGTGCGTTATAAACAAACAGTTCTTGGTAAAAAAAATAAATGCAGAGGGCAAACACTGGGTACGGCTTTTGAACTTTTCGTTAGGGCCAAATGCTGTGATTCATTCGAAAGAGCAAGAGTACGTGCGTACGTGTGTTACTCTCAGGGTGAAAAATGAGGGGTGCAAAACTTGGAATTTTTTTTTTCTATTTATTTCTCTTTTTTTTTCAGCCTGCGGATTTCATCGTGCATACACGAAAGACCACTCATAGTGTCGGATCGTATCTCATTTTCGAGTCCATCCTCCACTAGAATCCCCCGGAGGATTCCTGTCGTTTGCATGAAAGCCATTCCTAACCTTGATGAAAAACAAATATGTGAATCAGAATTTTTATACTTTTCTACGTTTTTAACCCGCTTTTCTCGCTTTATTGCCTTTTCGGCGACGGGTTGGAGTGAAGTATTTAATTTAAATTTTGGGAAGACACAATTGAGATTTACATTATTTTTAACAGAATCTCGGTGCGAATGGATTAATAATTCGCGTCATCTCCAGTCGGAAATTGTTTTTAAGACATTTTTCCGGGGAAAATTATTCCGTGGGGTCGGGGAAAAATTCTGTCTGCGATTTGGGGAAATTCTAGATAAATATTTCTGCGGATTTTTACATCTGTATTCAGTCTGTCCGTTTTGAACCGAGTTTTATGTCTTTGAAGTTTAATTGAATGAATTCATCAACTTTTTTTACGCTAATTGGAGCGAATTCTAGTTGAGTTTCACTGGAAGGGGAAATTTAGTTGAAAGACTAATAGTTCATCCGAGATTATTTCTATTTGCAACTAGGAATCAATAAAAAAAATTAAAAAAGTTGTCTCAATATTATTTAAATGTCCATAATATTTTTTACCAAAAAAACTCTAGTAAAATAGTTTCACCAGAAAAAATCTCGAACTCCAGTCTATAATTTCCACGAATCAATATGACGGGCGAAAAAAAATCAGCGAAATTCTGCGCTGGAAATTTCATATAAAATCAAACGAAATGACTGATACGCGTTATCATACCAGAGGCTGATGACATATATGATCAGAAATGTGTAGCCGAGTGGAAATAATTTATGGAATACATTTTTCGATTTCGATGATGAGTGAATTTACATGCGGGCAAAAGAATATGTCTGTGTCCGAATCGATGTTCCAGCTTCAGGATGAATTGATTCTAGGCATTGAATGGATCCATATTCATTCATTAATTATGCAAACTGCATATAGATTATTTACATAAACTGAAACTGACCAGCGAGCCGTACATTGATTATAGTTTTATTCCATAATTATATACGATCACGTGATTCTATGAACCGATAAGAATAAATATTAATAATAATATAAGTAATGTAATTATAATTATTCCGTATTATTGTCGTTATTATTTCATGCCAATCTTTTAAGTGGAGTGTCTCAGTTTATTGTTTGTACTTTAGTCAAGTAGAAAGGGATGAGCGAGACTTTATTGCAGAAAAAAATTTATAGTGAAAGTCACCCGACGGTTTGTAATGCTCTGGTATATTTTCTCCGGGGACATTATTGTTTATTATTGTTTATTACTACTCTGGTGTTGCAGTGGAAAATGAAGGGAGTGTAGAGATGACAATTGTTTGTTTGGGAATTTATCTTTAATTGGAAAATTTTAATATTCGATTGCTGCGGGTAAATGGTGGGATTATGAATAAAAATTTATATTTTTCGACAATTTTTATTCATAGATGTTTGCGATTAATTGCAATTTGTTCGTCGGTGCGCGTAAATTTGTTGATTCGAGATATGAAATAACGAGGAATTGTTCCCCGTGTAGGAAAATTTGAATTCGGGTGAAAATGATTACCGCGGTAATCGAAAAATACGATTTGGGGGGAATTAAAAAATATATTGAAACGCACTCTTTTTCGGAGCAATTTGGAGAACGAGGGGTTGAAAATTAGAGTCTTGTGTAGGGGATGGAGCGATGAGGAATTTGAATTTATATTGCGACAAACATGGCCAGAGAGTGGATGGTATCGTCACTGGGGAGAAATGGAAAGGGTTGAAACATGCCAATGCGAGTGATAGCGCACCATCGATGTTATCAGTGCAATTGTGTTTCGAGATTTTCCAATGAATGAATTTTTTTCGACAACGAGAAAGACATTTCGCTGAACTACTCTTGGATTTATGCCGCTGATAAATTTCTCTACAGCCTCCGAATTTCGAATAGGATCGATTGAAATCGAAATTCCTCTCGAAATTCGATTGTGATGTATCAAATTAATTCCGGACTTTCCCCGACAATTGGTGAAATAATTCAAATCAATTCAAATGATTGTGAATTTACAAAAATAATTGCAGAGAATTACCAGTAAATTGTTAATCAATTGTGAAATAAATATTGACACCCATTGTTCATTGGAAGAGACAATAAATATAAATTTTTATTTTGAAATTGAATTATTCATTTGAATATTCACATTTTGTGGAGGTGCTTGAAGTAATTTGGAGGGAATTTCGTCCAGAATTTTCTTGGTCCTTTGAAAATTATGAAGTGCATATGAGGAAGTCTCTCGCTTGAATCCCCCGGTACCGAGGGGTAAATGTATTCAGAGGACTCGTGAAGATCATTGAATCTCGGCAAAAAGGCAACAGAGGGATGAAGGGGACAAACAAGCAAGAAGGTAAAACGAGATGTACCGGGGGATTTTATCAGGTTGAAAATTAAAGCGAGGGCAACCCTTCCTAATAAAACCTCCCTTAATTCGCGGACTGATGCATATTAGTCTCTGATATATTCC